ACACACACACACACACACACACACACACACACACACACACGCACGCACGCACGCACACACACACACACACACGAGAATAAAATTTTCCGTAGACTTGTTCCTTTTTTCCCCCTGAGTTTCTCCAGAGTTCATTTGGTGGGTCGTATGTACGCGACCAACTGATCGAAGACGAATACATTAGGTTAAGGGAAAGAAATAGATACTCACATGTACAGTAGGCAAGCAGGCAGGCCGACAGACGGATGGACGAACAGACAAAGAGACATACAGACAAACAGACAGACAGACAGGTAGGTAGGAAGACAGAGAGACAGACTGGCGATTGTAAGAGCAACACATATTGCAAAAAATTACCTACAGACATGCATTCAAACTGTAGAAACAAAAACAAACAAAAGGCAGAGACACAGGCTTAAAGTCGGATAGATACACTGCTTCCGAAATTACCCGCAATCAGACATAATTTAACTACATAATCAACGAAAGAGATAGACAGAGAGGCAAACAGATAGTGAGACAGACAGACATACAGATAGGCATCCAGACATCCGTGCTTGCAGACAGACAAACTAACAGACCCAAAAATAGACTGGAAAAACAACCCACACGGGAAGAGAGAATGACGATATCGAAAAGTGCAACGCAGTTATCTTGAAGTGTCAAGGACGAATCGACATTTCCACCCATCGTCCTATGTCACGGAGCTTTGAGAATATAAAAATCGCCAAACACCGGTGTCGCCTTCGTGTTTGTGGCTGTTCCAAAAAAGTAACAGTTCTGTTCTAAGAATGGCTCACAGAAGAGAGAAAAAAAATGATGGTATCTCCGGCTGGAAGTTTGGCATCCAATTTTGGCTAACTTCAATGTCAATATATGACATTTGAAAACAACAACAACAACAACAACAACAACAACAACAACAAGCAAACAATAAACAGACTTCAACATGTAAGTTAAGGACCACTTGCAAATTTGGCTAAAATTCCCTAATGATTTCCGTGCCGCACGTGGTGGTTTTTGCCCCTTTAGGAAGCTTTGCACTACTCATTGTTAACCCATATTAACACTTTCAGAGCAGAACATTTTGAAACTTTCCTTGCTGTTTCTTTTCGGATTAAAAAAAAATCATGTAAGTCTGTCAAGGTAGTCCTTAACTTTAGTTGAAGTCTTGTACGTATGCGTATTGTTACTTTCTTATTTTAGACCCCCCCCCCTTTCTGTCTGTCGAAGAACAAGTCATATAGACCATAGCATAGCTTAGCATAGCAGAGCAGAGCATAGCACAGCATAGTATACCATACCATTGCAACTTTACATTTTGGCCAATTTAAGTATTATAATGTTCACACAAAGTGTACCATATTCAGTTATTCCCCAATGTTCAATAACGTGTGTGTGGGCAGTGGCGGTAGTTCTGGCGTGGTTTGCTAATTTTCTTTCTATCAAACATTATATCGCCCTTATCTCTCCTCTTCCATTTGGGGGG